GAGGAAGAACCAGGCCTAAAGAGAACTCTGAATCATTTGTTCACAAAGGGAAATCTGGAGGTAAGTGTGGGATATCGCTTAACCATTGTTTAAATACTTTAAAACAATGGCTTAACACACTTTCAACATCTCTACTTTCTCCAATACAGAATGTATCTAAGGTCTTCTTAGACTAAAGTTGTATTTCGGGATGAATGCCGCTAATTAATTTGGTAGCTTCGCCATTTACCTTTACAAGGGCGAAAATAATAAGCTACGTTAAAAAAGGTAGATACACAAGGAGTTGATGTCGCTAATCAATCTAAACGAGTGTAAACATCAAATGAACATTAACAACTACTCAGTCTTAAACAAATCCAAGAAAAATCAATCTTGTGAAAATGAAAAATTCAACGGTCAGCTACCCTCAGTTACAAGGAAATGAAGGTAATAATACAGTTTACAACAAGCGAGGAATTACAATTAAATCTAAAAAGTAAATTACCTTTTGTTACCTACAGCACCAAATTTACACAAAACTTGAAATTTGAAAATTAAGGTTAATGGATTTGTAGCCTTGCCCAGTGTCTTTATTTACGCCAACGGTACTCGTAGCTTGAATTTTGAAATGGGAAATCTCATGTGAGTACTTTAACACAGTTCCGATTCTTCACTGTATATGTTACTATCCTTCTTCTCGCGTTGACTGAAGTTCTACGAGAAGGGGACAGGTCCGTAGCCAGGGGGTGGCTAGGTGGGGCTGAGCTGAGCCCCACTTAGACCGTAGTCTTGCCCCCACAATGCCTCACTGGAAATTGCGGTTGATGGTTCTTTTACAAAAATTACAGGGGAAGTCTTTATCAAATAGTTAAATACCGGCCATGCGCATTTTGATGTACTCGTACTTACATGCAGTTTAGCATTTCACGAGTTATTTTGCCTAAATTGATCGTAGATGCCTTTTAATGTATTTATACTACCTAAATTGATTTTTTGCGCGATGGGTCATTTCTGACTATTTACCATGTGTGTTTCCATGACAGTAAGTGTAATTTACCAGTTGCTATGATTACGACGACGCCAAAATTACTTACCGATCTAAAAACAGAACAGCAAAAATACTTACAGACGCCTTTTTAAAAACAATCAGTTCAATGTTAACAGTCTTACATTACATTCAATCTTTAATTATTGTTACATTATACGTACAATTTGCGCTGATGTTTCCTATAGAAAGAACACGTTCTTCATTTAAATATGAAGCAATAGAGATCAATGTGTTTGAAGATGTGCTTTCGTTTTTCCAATTACAATTTTGTTCTGTAAAGAATTTTCGACATACCATTCGGCCACCGGCGAATACCTCGCTCATAAAGTCATAAAGGAAGTGCAAAGCTAGCAAACTACATCAGACACATGCATCAGAAATTATTCATTTCAGTTTTGACAAATAAACTGGTTACCTAGTGATTGACACCATACCACTTCGATCATTTCGATTTATTCTGCTCGTTAATTTCTTAGTGCATATTTATATTGGTTGCATAATTTTAATTTCGATCGCGCAAAAAATGTTATAAGCACGTCGAACGTTAAGGGTTACCGTTCTCAGACAATAATTGGAGTCGTCGCTCCGCTCCTCCTCCAAACAATATTGTCTTCGAACGGTAAAAATTCCTTACCGTTCTCCATACTTAATATACTATAATCGCGTTTTCGTTTCGTTTTGGGTGTTTTGTTGATGTTGATTTACCTGCATTTGATTCAATTATTACCTGATTTTCCACTTATGTTTATAATAATTATAATATGTGTCTGGGTTATTTAATTGCATATGACTCGATAACTGATTTTTTTTATTGATTTGAGATTGAGATGTTTTGTTTGTAGGTATTTGTGATTTTCTCTGTTGAATTTTGTTGTAGTTGCCCTTTTGTAGTTGGTAGGTGCGATATATCACCTGCAACAGGTCGAGGTGGCTTGTTCCTCGATTATCAGTCGCGGGGTAGCGGGCTGAACTCGAATGCCGTCTAAAAGATTTTTGCCCTTCGTAAAGCCCAACCTTCTCACGCTCATGTGCCGAGCTATCACCACTTAAATTGTTCCTCTTTGTGAAAGACACTGGAGGAAAGCTGGGCTCATTTTCGATGGAGTCGCAGCCGATACGACTACGATTGGGTTGAGCTGGAAAGTGATACCTTCTTTTCCTTCTTTCTGTTGCTCTTCGCAGGTTGGAAGCCCCCTTGACCTTCAGCGGGGCGCTGAAGCGAGCTGTGAATCATCGATTAAATTGATTACCTACTTGATCTTAAAACAAGTTTGGACAAAGAAATTGATGTTCCGAACACAAATGCGTACGTATAGGGCAAATCATGTAAAACATAAAAAGGAAACGCTTACCTTAGGTAGGTAATGTAAATATTAGATGTCATCCAGAGAAGTGAGTTTATTTCCCGGATCCATAAACCTGCAAAGAAAAGAAAACTCCCAAGCCGCAGAGCTCAGAATGCAATGAGCTGAACAATGCCTGTATGGCATCGCCTTACACTCTTAGTAAGCTTCAAATCTGGTTCATGACCCAGTGATCCAATTTCAGCAAATGGCGGCTCCTTATCAGCAGATGGAAATAGCGTCCGGTGTTGACAAGTGCAGGCAACGGATGAATTTAATCCAAGGTTACGCACTCGTACGTCGACAGTAAAGCGTCTTACAACTTTAGCTGGTCCTTTTACAGTTAAATTAAATTCAATTTGTACTGGTCCGTTAAAACTAGACTTGAATACTCTTTAAATAAGAGGGCTAATTATAGGTGAATGCAACATTCGTCGATGGAAATGACAATGTGACAGTGCTAGAAAAAACGCAATTGTATCCCCACTATGTCAGAGTTAAGGGTAAATCCATCCAAACAATATTACCGGAATCCCCAAATTAAGAGTTCAATCGCCAAAGTTTTATAACATGGGCGGCGGCAATTAAAATTCCATGCGTTTTCAAACTGACACCTCAGCTGTTGTAAAAATGAAATGCACTCAGTCACAGCCTCACAGCTCGCAATCGAAAGAGGAAGACGAATGTGTGCAATCGATAACCAACACGCGCTAAAATTGCGTGTTTAAATTCCAACGATAGATGGAGTCAACTATATTCAAAAGTACGACTGTTACGAAGATCATTCAACAAAATATACCGTGAAAATAAGCCGTTATAAGATATTAGGGTGGTGTGCGCTATACAGCGTGGTTCAAATTCGTGGCCATAGTTGTCCCTTTTTCTGACTAAAAAAACGCATTCAAAATTTTTGAAAAATCTTTGAAAATAACTGAGATATCACCAAAAAACTGAAAATGTGAAAATTTTCCTAGCTTAAACGGTCGGAAATGAACGGTTCCCTTTAGCAACCCCAATGGGCCCTTTTTTCGGAAAATCTGAATCTGTTATCAGAATTCACATAATACGCTACATATGTAGAAGCTATACAGGCTACTACTTTCTTATTTCTTATGGGCGCCAGATTGGATTTTTAGAGAATGAGATAGAGGACAAAAAAGAAAAATAATGACGCAATTTCAAAATCAAATCTTTTACAATCATTTCTCAACAAAACATCCACGGGTAACTAAGATCTTGCCGAATCAACATGGCTATGATGGCGATGCATTCAAATAAATTTCTTTATAAAACACATTTTTTGACATACAAGATTATCAAGGATTTAAAGTTTGCCCATTGCGCTTTCGTCGCCAAGCATAAATCCAGTCTTAAAAGCATCTAACATTTGACAAGACATGGATTCTGCCAAGGATTTAAAATGTAACCGGTGTGATTTTGTCCCTGAAAACACACATTCAATTTTAAAACACATTTGTTAATACAAAAGACCAGTAATAATTTCAAATGCGCCTGGTATTAATTATACAACCCCTTAAATCCCGTTACTTTCTAAGGAAATAATCACGCGCCAGTGAAATGCCGGGAATGTTAACTCTACACTTGCATCTCTGTTGCACCGTGACTCCCTTCGGTGAGCTCCGCACTGTGCAACCGCAAGCGCGCTCGAATTTGAATTTGCGTTGAACTGTATTATAAGGGAAAGGGGTCGTAAATCTACGAGTAAACAATATACCTACTCGTGGGTCCACTCAGATTGCACCGTTTCGTAAAATTTTTTTCGCGTAGTCAGTAGGAAACGTGGAAATAAACAAAACAAACGCTTGCGCTTTGACGCGTTAAAGCAAATTCAAATGCAAGCGCTTGCGGTTGGACGTTGTTGAGGGATTAATTTTAAATGCAAGTGTATAGGACAAAAAATATTATGTGCGCCACGGCACGAAAGTTGTTTTCCGGGCCTCAGGAAGTGGCCAGCCTCGGCTTCGCCTCGCCTGGCCATATCTTCCTTCGCCTCGGAAAACAACCACTTTCCCGCCTTGGTACACATAAGAATCCAAGTCTGTAGCTTCTACATCTAGCGTGTTATGGAAATAGTATATACCTAGAAAGACAAGTGTTAAAGCCGCTTTACATTAGGCAATTTTAGTGCAATGCAAGGCTTCTGCTATGCAATCTAAAATTGCCTTGCATTGCTTATTACGGTTTTACATTTATGCAATTGTCTTGCAACTTTTGTGCAAGTTCAGAAAAGTGTTGCAGTACTGACAACATATTTTTCAAAAATTGAAACTTTTCAGTTTGTTTACACAGAAGGTTATTCTTGAAACTTAATAAAATTGACCATTAGGTATGAGCAAACAAAAGGAAATTAAACTGGTTACAGCTTGTTATGTGGTGGCGCTTGCTATTAAAAAAAACACACAAAATAACACACGCGAAACCAAATAAATTGTGGTATTGACAAAATTACTAGAAAAGTTACTAGAACATGCGCCAAACTTGCAAGTGAAATAGAACTTTCTCTATTTATTTTTCTTGCACCTGAATTGCGTATGAACATGCGCAGTAACGTATCTCTAACTTGCATTGCTCTTGCATTGCACGAAAATTGCCTAATGTAAAGCGGCTTTTACAATGCGACCTATTGCAATACGACTATCTTGTGGTACGAGTGGCGACGCGAAGCGTAGCCACGAGTGTCCGCAAGATAGGAGTATTACAATAAAGCATTGTAACACGCGTTTTTCATACTATTTTTTCTATTTCGGTGCTTTAATTTAATTAAAAAAATCATTATCAGAAACTATAGGGAACATTAGAACTAACATGTTTTATGTTGGTAACACTTTTTATGCCGTTAAGTTTTAGGTTGGCAGCGTAGTAAGACTGACATTTTGAAGTTCAAACATGGAAGTACCCAACCTTAGAGAAGGAAAGAGTATAGTCTAGTCATATATATAAGAGAAGTATATGGATAACCGCCTATGATTGCAATGTGCAAATTGTTCGCCATAAAAGAGAGCTGCCCTATTCCTAGTCCTCAACTCGGTATTTATGCGCAAACTCCCCAAGTAAATATTTACTTCTCTCCGCCTACTTTTAAGTAGCGCCAATTTCAAATTTCATAACCTATAACTCGAAAATAGGGTTAAAATTTTATTAAACCATTATTGTGTGCAATGACCATATGTAAACACAACCACGCACCATTCGGAAACTTCACCCAGACTTCTATTCGTTTCATGCAGGTTCATATTCACCACATTGGCCCCATTCCATCTGCCGACTCCTATCACTATTGTCTGATCCTGTGATGTCTTTAGATAAGTATACTAGCTGGCCGAGGCCCACCCTCCCAAGACCAATCGCCGCCGAAGCGTTTCTTACCTGTTGACTATATCGCTTCGATTCCCCTACTAGCATCTTCACCGATCAGCGACGACAATTTGAATCTTCCCTTTTTTGTGCCCTCAACATTGTTTTCGACACACAAGGATTCGGGACCTGCAGTCAATGGCCTACTTGAATGATTTCACTGCCAACTCAAATCAGCGCTCACGTGCCACCCAGTGCGTTCTGGTTCAAGGTACTCCGTATCGTTCTGCTTGGAAACTGTAGCATTTTCACGGAGAACTTTCGAGCTTCCTCAGCGGAGTTTGTTTACGGTTACACCCTTCAACTTCGAAGGCAAACTTTGTAACGATTTAGAAACTTAAATTGCAATTGAAATAATATACCTGTAGGGATTATATCTTGCAACATGAAATTGGATAAGTTCGAATCAGCTATAATATAAAGTGATACATTACCAATGTTCAAAGAAACAATTAAATTAAAGACATTTACTGATTTTAAAATAAAATTAACATTGTCGAGTTGGAAATCTTTCAGGTGTTAAGTGACCCCCATATAACTTCGTGCCCCCATCATGCTTGTGTGCATCCAAATCAATGCAGTCATAGCGGTTAAAATGACGAGAACACAACCTTGTTTTTACATCATCGAATTCCGATAGTTCACATGCTTGCAGTCACCGATTCTTGTTGCTTTTTTCACTTGGGAATCTAATAACAAGTATGGCATAAATGAATTGATTGCAGATAATTGCATTGTAACTTACTTGTGCCATGAAACCGAAGAATCCACTTTCCCACAAGTACCTGCATTTCTTTATTTCTAAGTAATGAACACACTAAAATTGCCAAACATTAGGTATTCCTTTACAATTATTGTGTATCACTTACGTATACTGATTTATATAACTACGAAAGGCTTCTTTACTATTAAAATTAAACAAAAGTTCAATAACTCATAAACAAAACAAACAATTTAACCTCAATCCGTTATGTCAAACTGGAGTAAATGCTTGGTAAATAACACTACATAATAACAGGCAAGCGCATTAGCGCCTAGTTCCCAACTAATGACAGAAGTATATTTCCATCCACTAACGTTGGCGATAGGCGTGTCCAAAGCTGAAAAAAATCACCAAATGTTTGTTTAAAAGCATTTGTGGCATATATTTGAAAATAAATGAACCGCCAGTGCATTTCCCAAAATGACATTTTTCTTTTTTTTGCCATAACTTTTCTATTTGTAGAGCTACAGTAAAATGAATAGGATAATTAATCAATCAGGATATATAATTCTGCATAACTTTGCCCATTTAAACGACTTTAAATCTCTTACGGTTTACGAGGTCCCCATATTGGAAATGAAAACAAACTCAGCCTGTATAATCAAACATATTTACCGATATTGCCTTTAACATACAAACGATAAGCCCGTAAAATATGTTGGTAAAATAAGGTATAAGTTTTGTAGATTTTTCTATGTATTTATACGACCTCTATAGCGGCGTTTTACACTTTGCGAGCGAGCTTATATTTTTTGGAGTTGGGGTAATTGACTAACAAAGCGTCACTGTTGACTTTCAAAGCTGTCGAGTAGGTATAAAGTATGATATGTTGCCTACGATCTTTAGTTGTGGATTGAAATTTGCGTATCAATTTTCTTGAATTTCTTAGTAAATTTCATCAAATGCAAAATCTCTTGCATGTCTTACTTTGGTTTCTCAAGGTTTTTTTTTCGCTAATCTCTTTCGGCATGCAAGAACAAGACAATTAAGATCAAGAAAAATAAAAGACGAGAGTGAAAAACTAATTGAAACTGAAGTAGGTACGATGTGCTTTCAAAAAATCTCTTGCATGCATACAGGCTGGTCTGAATGAAAAATTTGCGGGAGAACTTTTTTAAATGATGGTAAGTTCTCTCATTCCTTGAAATAATTAATTGTCGGTATGTGTAAAAAAAACCCTCGTGGCCAACCACTGTAACATCCAAATAGTAAAAATGGTGACCCTGTATCGGTTATTAATCAAGTGAGCATCACAACGCACGCATTGTTATGTAACCTTATTACTTAGCATCGATTTATGAAGTGTCTATCTCTATGAATAAAAAAATTTAGATTATCAATAAGAGTAAGTAAACAAGTTTAACATGGTCAAGAATATGTGCCACGCTTTTATCTCTTCAGAGGCCATTCACTAGGTTTTGTTATGGAAGATTTAAACTGCACTGCACCATTACAGAATCTTATAAATTATTTATATCATTTACATAAGTCTAAAAATATGTTTTTTACTACGTAGTTTAAGCAAACCATTTTTGTTTGGCTCCAGTCGTGTAGGAAAGGGTGATGTATTGACCTTACATTTGAATTGCAGAAGGTCGCCGACAGTAGCAGACCACAGATAGCAATAATTCTATGGGCTGCTTCACATATAATTACAAAAATATGATAACACATAATAATTTCATCATTTTACACTGATTGTGGTATTTTCATACTGCGACTTGCAAGAATGAATTCAGTACATTTCGATAAATGAGAGGGGCTACAATCCGCACTATAGCAAATAAAATCAGAAAGCTGCTCTATTTGGTCAAAATATCTATGTATCTATAGTGTTATCTTTGGATTAGATTAGTAAAACGGTACACCGTTCGAGTAGTTTGCGCGCACCGTTTTTGTTGGACGATCAGTGCAATTAAAGTTGTGATTTTCAAATTTAAAAATATAGGTTTAGCCTGTTATATAATAGATCAGACAACGAAAATACACACACTACTTAAAATATATGCAGTGAATAAAAGCAATGTGCGTTATTTATTTTGACGTTTTTGTAAATGTTTGGATTTTCTGATTGAAGACAGGCTTCGAAAGTGTATTTTGAATGGAGCGTGTAAGTGCAATTTCTTCAGTTTGATGTGCGAGATCATGTTATGAAATTACTTTTGTTTAAAAAAGGTTTATTAATGCAATTAAGTGTTTTTGTTTGATGATCTTGCGGTTATCGTAATATGACTGGATTGTGTTTATTTTTAATTTGTATCTGCTGTAATTGCGTGCGAGCTCAAATATTGGGGGAAGGTGGTAAGTGAACACTTAATTTCGTGTAGTAGCTAACACGTTGTCACGTGTTACATTTTTAGATTACTTAAATGACTATCCTCCTGCATCCGTATATCTCAGTGACGGCCAACAGGATACAGGATACGCAAATTATCGCAAGCCAGAAATTATTCGCCAACAGAGTGGAAGTGACATAGTTTTAAAATGCAGTACCACATCCTGTTTGTACCTTAAACAAAACAGTCTTTGGGAATTCAAGGTATACAGCTAATGTGTAATTCACTTTCTTACCGAAAAGTGAAATTTCAAAAATCCACAAGTACCAAAAGACCATTATTCACAACCGCTAAATGAATGCTTTTCTTTTGGGGAGGTCTCTAATGATCCTAGGGCAAAATTATCTCAGAATAAAATCACCTATGTCATATTTTAGAGATGCGAACCCGATTTCAAAAAAAGCTCTTGCACAAATTTGGACGGTCTCGGTATTAGAGGGCGGCCATCCAAGAACGTTACCTGGAATACGGTCCGGGGGCATGTCATGAGACATAAATGTTCCGTCAATTTACATTTACACAACGTGAATACTAGTCATAGCGGTCTTTATCGCTGTATTACTGATGATAAAGTGATCAAGACATATGAAGTAATTGTTGTAGGTAAATACCTCAAATTTGTACGATACCTACCGTCTTAGGTTTTTTCTCATGTTTTAGATCGCAATGTCAAAAGTAACTATCAACCTGCAGAATTACTAGACGTAATACCACCAAATGCGACGATCGAGATCAATACGCGTGTAATTATCCAGTGCAGAGTGTACAGTCAACTTCCCCCAACGATATGGTGGTTCAAAGAAAGTGATGCAACGAATTACGATATTAAATTTTCCGGTAAATATTATCTACAAATAAATAAGAGCGTTTCCGCATACAGCGTGCCGCACGAATCTAATGTGTATTTAAGTAAACTTTACATTTACCACGCAAAGGAAGTGGATAGTGGCAAATACGTGTGCTTCGCGTTGACTCATAATGGAACTGCTCAAAAAGACACCACCATTAACGTGGTGCCAACGGATAAATACTGGGAACCCCAACGTTCATTTGTGTTATTGTTTTTAATACCGATCATTTTTGCGTTGATACCAGTAACAATTTGGCTGTGCTATTATCGCAGGAAAAGAAAAAATATGCAAAAAATTACCGGACAAGGGTATCAAAATGGTTGTGTGGTTAAACTTATTTTGTCACAAAGAATTGTTGCGTTAACTAATCATAGCACAGCTGTTTAGCATCGGTTTCGCGGTGATTAGTTTTACAATAAAATTCAGACTTAATCTGTGATTATAGGTATAGAACTGTAAATATAAACAATTTTCTGTTTGAAGTTTTTTTTAAAACACCCTAGTTATTAAGGTACTGGTTAATTTGATCACATTGCTTCACATATGCATGTTTTATTTATCTTCAGAAAATAGACACCTATTCCAAATTTTTTGTATTAAAAAATTATCCAGAAGACTTTTTTGAACTGTCAATTACTGCATCGCCCCAGTAATGGCCCCTGACATACATAAGGTGAACACGATTGGGTTCATCTAAAAAACTCGGCAGCTTTACTGATATGAAAAAAATAAAATAAATTGTCGTTGTAATTGTGATAAAACATTTAAAAACACGTCGATAGCAAGGGGGATGTTTAATGAAAGGTTTACCTTAGTTTTAACATTTACCTCCGCTCCCCAGCCACCGTCAATTTAAAATTCTAATATGGAAATATGATCTTGTTACTCGATTGGGGGGAGTGGATATATCATGATTTTTAAACAGTGGGGTAGCTTGTGGATGTGGGAGGAAAAGCTAAAACCCAAAAACTTCTCCCTAGTTTTTGAAATGGACGGGGGTTTTGCAATTTTTTCGTTTTGAAAGATAAAATTATAAGTGGTGTACCTATATTCATAACAATTCCTGCCAAACGACAACAGACAAACAAGCAGGGTGAAATACCCAAGTTGGAATGTTTACTTCCATATATTAATGTTAACTAAAAGAAAAATACTACCCCTGTTTTAATTTAATTCAAGATTAAATAAAGTCTCTCCCAAACCAATTTACTTTATATAGGCTGCTGACAATTGTTTCGGCCTCTAAATTATGAACGCCATTCTTAAAGCTTATAATAGACTTATTTAAGTTTTGACAAACAAATAAATATTAAATTTTAGCCTGATATATATTTCGTCATCATTTGTTAAACTTTAAAAATGGTTGACCAGTTGATTGTTATTTATTAAAGAAATAAGAAATTATTATTTGTAATATAGTCCGAACCGGAAGTCGGAAATCCTTGCACATTGTCCGTTAGATTGTTAATAAAAAAATCAATAGCGACAACATTGGATGGAATGTTACCTGTGGGGCTGTGTCTCACATCACTTCACTGTTTAGTGTTTAACCTTTAACTCTCAAACAACAAATAAATTTAAGAACTAAAATGTTAAGAACAATTCCATTTCTTGGTCGTTCAGTGAGTATATTTTCATAAATCATTGGGGCGAATCCCATTTTTAAAATTGTAGGTTTCTCGATGTGTAAATATAGTAAGTTCCAGTTTCGTCTCAACGAAGAATGCGATTCCTCGACATTATTCTATTGCGATAGGTAAACCGTCAACTTGGCTTATTTCGGAACTTGGTATACAAATTTTAGATCCGGTTAATATTCCACGTGTTCAGAATCCGGCACCTTACTTTAAAGGGACTGCTGTTATTAATGATGCATTTCAAGATATAACTTTGCATGATTATCGTGACAAGTACTTAGTTTTAGTGTTTTACCCATTGGATTTGTATGTTATTTTATTTCGAGGAGTCAAAAGATTTTCTAATTTTTTGTAGTACATTTGTATGCCCGACAGAATTAATCGCGTACGATGAGCAATATGACAAGTTTAAGAAAGCTAATACAGAAGTAATTGGAGTGTCTGTAGATTCTCATTTTACCCATTTGGCATGGACTAATACAAGTCGATCGGTAAGCCTCTCATTCAGTACCATTCACATATTGACAAATATTTTCAGGAAGGAGGATTGGGCAAGCTGAAGTTGCCATTACTCTCGGATCTGAACAAAGACATTTCAAGAAGTTACAATGTGCTGTTAGAGAAAGATGGTGTTGCACTTAGAGGGTTGTTCATAATTGATCCAAAGCAGATTATTCGACACATATCAATAAATGATTTGCCGATTGGAAGATCAGTCGACGAGACCTTGCGGTTAGTAGAAGCTATACAATTTTTTGAAAAACACGGCGAGGGTAAGTTATTCTTTCGAGGGACTGAACTGACGCTTGAGTGGTGTGTTTTTAGTGTGTCCAGCAAATTGGACTAAAGGTGGCAAAACTATTAAGCCGGATCCTAAAGGATCAAAAGAATATTTTGGAGCTGCCAATAAATGAAGACTTGAAGCAGGTCCTGCCAGATGATTAGGTTGTAAGCTAAAAATAAGTTCTGTTTGGTGTTTGTAAGACAATGGATCTAAAGGGTGTAAATTAAAGGAACTTTATTGTGTTTTTTACTTAGGTCTGAGTGTTTATCCAGATTCCACAGATTTTTTGGTAGTATTTCTCTTCCTAGCTATCTGTGTAATATTTAGCTATAAAGGGGCGAGAAAAATTCGAATTTGTATAGCATGCCATTTTTTGTGTGTGCAGCACCTCCCTAGTGTGTAGGCATTACATCATGCACTTACCTAAAATTTGTAATTTTTTCCAAAGGTAACTTCCTAAATAATTTAATGCATCACAACATTCTACTTATTTGTATAAACAATGTATTTAAGATTTGTTATACTATTAAAGGTCCATTCAAACTGACGCGGGAATGCGGCAATTTACCGTTGCGCTTCCGCACCGGCCCGTTAACAAATCGGATGTGTGCACCGGGNCTTTAACGGAAAAGGTAGATAAAGTGAAACAGATCATTGTGCATTCCGATGACATTTGTCATTCTTATTAAAATGAGACGCGGAGCACGATATATAAATGAAGTTCAGAGCAAAATACAATACTGTTTCGATGGAAGCGACGGGAGAACCTAAGCTTGCTATTTTGGACGTCTAAATTAAATATCTAACTCGTGTGTTATTGTTGTTGCACAACAACGTTTGCTTGGTCTATTCCCACCAATACAACTTGAGCGGCACGTATAAATCAGCACTGCAATAGGAAAACGTGTGAATAAAACGAGGCACAAGTTAAACAAGTAAAAAAATAATCGTAAACGATTTACAAACAGCGCATTTTGTAACAGTAGTTCTGTTCAGGATATTTAAAGTTCATTTTGTACGTAATTAAAATGTTAAGTCTAAATGTAATCATTACTCCCAAGTACGAATGATGTGACTGAATGAGAGTACCTTAAAAGAAATTTATTCCAGTTCACTGTATCCGACTGTGGATTTTAAATATGGCCGCCATGAATCAGAAAGTAATAATCGCGGCGTAATTAGAATTGCGTTCACCATATGTAAATAATGTAAATTAGGGAAAAAACTGCATATAAATATCGAGTATTAACGCTAAGATCAAAGTCCGAGTCATTGTAAATAATTCATTTAGAGCTAGTAGAACGACTTGAATACGTCTGTTCGCTACCGCTGTCAAATTGGCAAAAGCTTTATTCACGGGCGATCAGTCTATATAAACGTAAGTGGATTGTGCGCGTAAAGCAGAAATGAGGCCACGGGATAAACACTACGAAAGTATAAATACGGAAATTTCCACACCAAGTGGGCAGTTGCCCGCCGTCTTTTCACGGAGTAACATCTGTGCCAGTCGTGCCCGCAAATTATAAGCGCGTTTTCTTGTAATAGTGAATTGAGGCGACTTTTTTAAGAAAATCAACAGAAACAACCGAGTGAAACTATCTTCATCTCCATCCAGCCACTACATCGAAGGCGAAGACGATCCTTCACGGCACTCCCGAGAAAATTAGGAGGATTGCGAGTTTTCCGAAGGAAGTTCGACTTTCTATTCTACGCGCGGTCCGTGCACAGTCTACTTGGAGGGTACTGAAAAAGTGGCGTTGAAACCTGCCTGCCTGTGATTGGCCGAACCGAAACTCCAATAGCTGATTGCAGTGGGCGGTCCTGGGTTCATTGGATTTCAACATCGATCGGAGCGTGACCAAGACTATACTCCGAATCCTAGTGCATATTAACAATAGCCAAGGTATTTATAAACCAGTAAGCATTATCGCGTTGTAGTTTATCATCTTTGTTGTTCGTCCCGTCGTAGACTATTGCATTGTAGTTTGAATTTGTGTTATTGTAAAGACGATTTAATCACCTACTAGGGTTGCATTCAAATAAGTGCTTGTGAGCACTGTTTGCTTTCATTTTAACGACTCGTGCCTGGAGGCGTTATTACACTCATTTACAGCAGTTAGTTTTGATTTTAGATCTAATTGTATACTAATTTATGAAACAAGAATTAAGTTTCTTTCTGTACTCGGCGGTGTTAGAGTAAATATTTTGATTTTTGACTAACGTAACAAAGACAGATTTTCCTTTCTATGCAGTGAATTTGTTGTGAATGAACTTCAAAACCCCCCATTTTTTTTGACGTGGTTATTTACAGGCAAAAAAGCAGATTTCTCTAAGAAAAATGAACGTTAATAAGTTTTAATAAAAGACTTTGATTTTTATTCATTATATCTTTCCCTTTCTCCGAGGCCAGAAAAAGGTCATCGACCACCCCTAAATAAAATAGATTTTGAGCAGAACGGTAGGGAGAGTTGAAAAGGTAACCAGCCGTTACAACCACACTGCCCATCACTGCGTCCGAGAGCACGGTTGGAGATGGTAAATGTACTTCTGCACCCGGCGTGACGGACGAATGCAAGAGATGGATACATAGAAAAAATTGTTCGAGACGGCAATTACACACTAACAAGTCTGAAATCGAATTAGGTGGCGAACATTTATTTTTGATTCCAAAGCCGGTATTGTGCTTTACGCGTGGTTTCTCGGTTCTTTTGGTTTGGTCTAAAACTGTAGACCGAGTTCGATGGATAAGTACACTCAGTCAATGCACCTGCTATCGCCTGAAATCGACCGCCGATTTACTCTTCTTATGAAGTAGTACCTATAATTTAAATCGAAACTGTTGCAATCACAGGGTAAGCTAATTTACATTTACAATGTTTTATGGCAACTTAAATAACTGGACAAATTGGTTTTCTCGTAGCATTGCAGCGCGCACTTTAAATTTTCAAGTATGAAATCCACTACTTACTAGCAGGGAAAAGACTCAAGCGCCACACGACCAGCTAAAACCAATTTACTCAAGACCCTACTTACTGAAACCAATACAAAGACGATCACAATGAAAAATCCCATCTGGCCCACAACGTGGTTCGCTTTTTTAAATACCAATTCCACGAGCACTCATTTTTACCATACCTGGCACCGCGCAATGAGGTTTTCACCACGACATTGTGTAATTTAAAAAGAGGAGGAAATGTTATCTATTGTTGTACACGTATACATTCAAAGGTTGGCCATGATTCGAACTTCCAAGGGCAAACTGGCTCTTACAAGTAAAGTACATCATCGATGTTACAAATAAGTATTTAATCGCGCTATGGATTAACGTCTACTGTTGAAACGAAACGCAAAGAAAGGAGAACCAAATTATATTGTGATACTCAGAAGACATCGGGAATATAAAATGTGGAGGATCAAAGTAGATCACCCCAAGAAAGGAAACAGGAATTAACAAGAAATTGTATCAAGATTTAAATGAAAAAATTTCGAACTTAAAGAGTCGACCCAAGCAAGTGAACTGCTTTTCCCAAAGAGTCAAGCTGCGAGTTAATCAAAACAATTGAGTTGCGTTGCTGAAACCCCGTCCACACAAAAGATAAAAACGTAAATAAATAAGTAAATATTTTCCAAGTGAATGTAATTAATTTCGTGCGAGATTTCTTGTATAAAATGCTCATACACACCTAACAGAGTGAACTGGCAATCCTTTCTTGTGTCATTTGTGTGAGGATGGGATTTCTGGACAATGTAACGTGAACGCTTACAGACGGCATTGTTTATTCATTAATGTTTAGGTAGGTACAACGTCGGCTGGGATTGTTTATGTGTGTCTCTAACTGGCGCCTTCTCCTTGCATTGGTATGTCTCAGACTCAGAGTAAGAAACTGTTTCTTGCTCTGAGCATTGATTCACCCCATCGTTAATTAATGAATTCATTGAGACTCAAATGGCTAACAGCAAAATAACTCCCGCAATACAAACTTTTCAGTAAATTGCCAGCACTTGCATGAGTGGGGAGATACTCTTTAGTCTTTCAGAAAAGAAAATTGAAATTGAGGTATTTCGATATACCACTACGGTAGGAACGGATATACCTAAAGTGTAAAATGTAAAAGTAAATTGTTCTTTGTCAAAAGTTTACATTTTAACATGTAGAGAAACTTTAAGGAAAAGTTATTAACGTTAAAACGCCAGTGCAAACTGAACCGCGAAATAATATGGCTGAGTTTATCCGTAATCTCTTGGGGGCCATTCGAACCGCGAAATCGTAATGCATTTTCCTTATATAGCGTTTTTTATTATGTCTATCGCACCGTTTCACAGGGATGCGAAAATGGCGACAATCTGGAATATTGTTCGTATGGGAGGACTTTTTTATGATACATTGTGCGTCTAAAAGGCCCTTTGCGAATGACTAGATTTAATATTTAAACACACCTTTTTTCTTTTTACGGTTAATATATAATTAGACACTTTCATCCCCTAAAATACTTACGCCGGCACATTAACGCGGGATTTACATTTAACGTGTACACCTACCTGTGCAAGGGGCGCTAATAGATTAGATTAAAAATCAATCAATTCGACGAAGCAAAGGTTTCGCAAAAAGGTGAGCATTCTCTTTTGAAACTGCAATAAAAACTACTTAATTTTACAATCCCATTTTAAAGGAGTATCAAAGTAAAGAAAAAGTAAAAACCCAAACCATCTCCATTCATTCTTGTTTTCTATTACCAGCGAGGAGCTGTGTTATAAAAAGCTCGATAGCTTTTATTTGACATTTAGTGGCGATTTGCAGCGTTGCTGAGGCCGACAGAACTAATGATATCGCTTTTTGGATGTTCACTTGTCCCACCACGCTTTGCTTTCTCCATTTTATTTTTATTTTTGTTTTAGATTTGTTGCCTTTGCTTTTTCCAGATCTCGACGACATTGTTTAAATCCTGAAGTGATTTGTTGATTGGCTCTGTCTTTGCTTTGTTTTAAAGTACGCGTTTGTATACTTATCCCTAATTATATCCACGACTTCTGTTTGTATTTGATATTCCGACAAGGATATCTAAACGACGCACGAGTTGATTCTGAGATCTGTAAATTACAAAAGCAGTTTGAGAGAAGTTATTCAGAACGGCTCTTCTATTCAATCAGCAAGGAGTCTTATACTATACTGTTAAGTGTAATGCTTTTTAATGAGAAGAAATAACACCTACAATTTCAATAATTACAGAAAGATAGCAGGATAGCAGCCTTTCT